ACTTGAATACGCAAACACAAGGAGGAGGCGCTGTCACGTGCCAATTTATTTTTCGTAAGATTATAAAGCAACGAGGAGAATGTTCACGTTACCACTACTCTTCGCCTTTCGGCATTGCATTGTTCTCATCTTATGCAGCTTTAGAAATTATTCGTGTATTTGCCTTCAAACCTATTTTTAATATATTTTGTTTTCAGTGGTCAAAATAAAAAGTAGACAAAATATGTTATGTGGAGAATTCTCAACTTTTGCATATTTTTATTTTCTGGTGCGAGACCATATTTTTACGTTTTAAAGTTTTAATTTCTTTGTCATTAGTTAGTGTTTGCTTTTAGTAAAACAATTTGTTCTTTCCTGTTTTTTTTAATGGAATTTAGTAAATATGCAAAAATATATTTCTTTGCTCATGTTTAAGTCGCCGGTAATGGTGGTTTAAGCAACATCCAGTATTTACAGAAGATTTAATTATTTATAAGTGGATTTTTCTAAAGAAAAAGGGCTTTGGAACGTCTGAAGCAATTACATACATAAATATATATTAAATCTTGTCCGTCTAATCACAATAAATTCTTATTAAATATTAAAATATTACAATAATTAACATTTAAAATATTAAATGATGTTCTTTATCGAAATATTCGATTTACATTAGACCATCATTGGTGTAATGTAAATCGAATATTTCGATAAAAAACATCATTTAATATTTTAAATATTTTAAATGTTAATTATTGTAATATTTTAATATTTAATAAGAATTTATTGTGATTAGACGGACAAGATTTAATATATACTTATTATATCACAATATGACGCAACTTTACCATCTTACATACATAAAGTGTAATCAACATAGTTTTACACTTTCTCTGGTCTTTTAGAGAACACGTCACTCTAAGCTAACAAGGCTGTGATGTATGCCTCCCAAAAATGTAGAATTATTTGTGCAGTTCCTTTGTTTGAAATATTTCCTGTGTGCAATTTGAATACCTGATGTCTAATGGAAAATGCTTTACGTACACGGAATGATTTTGGACAGCCGTATATTTATAGAGATTGTGCTGAATCTTTTGAAAGGCCGAAGGAGGCGGAGAGATTGCTAATGATGAAGGTTCGCGTTTTTATAGAAATACATTACAACTGTCCACGCTCCAGCATAACTGACTGGAATTCTAGAGAAACCAGCCTGAGCCTTGGCTGGATCGTATCGCTCTCCTGGAATTTTTCGTAGGTTTCCTTACTAATCCTCAAACTTTAAGTGAACTTTGCTGTCCAGTTCACTACAGTACTACTAGAATACGACGGGGAATCTGACGCACGTGAGGTGGCAGTAGGGACGTCTTCATCGCCCGACGGAATTGGGCTAATCAGATCAAGTAAAATAGGACTGGCGGGACATGAGGGAAATAAGAAATGAACGCAACATTTTAATCTGGAAACGTGGAGGAAAGATTCCTCTTTGAACATATAGCCGAAGATGAGAGGATATTTTTAATAGCATGGATCTTACAGAAAGAAGGACTGGAATGGATTCGTGCGATTCAGAACAGAATCCAGTGGCGCCGATCTTTTGCGAAATCTGTGATGAATCTTCGGGATCTATTAAATGAAGGGATTTTCTTTTAGCTCGTAGAGCGATTGTTAGGTTCTCAAGACGGATTATGTCCCATTATGTTAATTAATGCGGTTGATAATTTGTAGTTAATTAACTGCGCATCGAAGTGATTTTACTTCTCGATGAATTTGAACATCGGATTTGGCCCTGAGTGGAAGATACGGACAGCGCAGTGCCTGCAGTAATTAGACCACATTAAGTTCATTAAACGAGTTTTGCTGAGTTAAAGTAAGTTAATAAAGACGCTTACCTCGTGTTCATTCCTTTTTTATTTTAATTGTTCTGGTTTGGTGTAATTAAGAGCCACGTTTATGTGTTGGCACAAAACATCTAGCAGTAATATTCCACCTTTACGGAAATGAGGGCACTGCGTGTCTTAAGGCACACTAAATGAGGCCAGGAAGTTTCTTGTAACAAATTTTGTGCTGAAACATCAACTGAATGTAAGAAACCTGCATAAAAGGCTTTGTTACTCTCAAAGGAAATTTATTACTGAGGAAATGAAATCGCAGTAGGCGAGTTGTAAGGCAGAAAAACATTAAAGAAATATAAATTATTCTAAAAGAAGTAATAGGATCTGAACTGTGTGAAATTAACTTTGAATAGTGTTCCATTGGAGCCACGGTGGTCTAGCGGTTAGAACCTGGGATCTCGGGTTCGATTCCCGGCGGTGCCCGAATTTATATCTTGTGTTGGGCAAGGCCGTGGTGTAGGTAACACGGAGTTTTTCTCCGGGGGCTTCCCCGGTTTCTCCGTGGCATCCCAACAATTATCCGGCGGGGCCCGGATTTATAACTTGTGTTGGGCAAGGCCGTGGTCTAGGCAATGGCAAACCACTTCTGGATAATCTGCCAAGATCGTATATGAACAGTTCCCAGTCCGAGAAAAGGATGGAAGGCTCCTGTTCATATGGACCTGTCGTCAGACAGAACACTAAATAATAATAAGATGAGGTGGTGTAGCGGTTAGAACGCTGGCCTTGTAATCCTGGGGTCTCGGGTTCGATTTCCGGCGGTGCCCGAATTTATAACTTTTGTTGGGCAAGGCCGTGGTCTAGGCAACCCGGAGTTTGCCTCCGGGGGCTTCCCCGGTTTCTCTGTGGCATCCCAACAATTACTCCATTCACACACAGAAGAAGGCAATGGCAAACCACTTCTGGATCATCTGCCAAGAACGTATATGAACAGGTCCCAGTCCGAGAAAAGAATGGAAGGATCCTGTTCGTATGGACCTGTTGTCAGACAGAACACTAAATAAATAAATAGTGTTCCATTGTCCAGTGTCTTCCTAAAATGAACTATACGACATTACCTGTTTGTTGTAGCAGTATTAAGAATTATACAATATGGGAAAGATGTGACGTCACATATTTACCGCCTTGTTTACGCATAGAAATTGCTTTGTACATTAAACGGTTAAGAGGTAAGAAATTAGCGATGAACGTAGATCGCTTTATGCATCATTTTAGTCGCCTGGTAGCAAGCAACCAACACAAGAGAAATGACGAAGAGTAGATAGGTAGCATAATTTTGTGCAAGTCTGCATAAAGTTGGGTTAGGTTAATGTCTATGAAATGGTCCTTACGATACGATACAACTCGAGTGTGCGCCATGAGAAGTGTTGTCCAAGCTACTGCTAGTCCTCAGCCTCGTAGCAGGGGAACGCAAGATTCACAGTTCGTTTCATGAATCCACATGGCCAGTCATCGTGCGTGTAATAAAGCCGTCGTTAAACGAGCCTCAGACTAGTACGGGGAACACGCGTCTCGACGTTTCCATGTCGACGACGAACAGCACGGAAAGCGTTTGAAGCTAAAGACTTGTAACTTTTCTAATTGACGGGACCCGCCGTGAAAAGAAAATTAAATCTGAATCAGAGAAAACTGCAGGAAGGTAACTCTACTTTTTATACACTTTTACAACGTTAATATCTGGGTTACGATTCGTAATAAAATTTTACACGCTTCTCGTCTCTGGCTGAAGTCAAGAAAATGTGTGATCGGGAAATTAATCGCTCCCCTCGGACTGCTGTAAGAGAGAAGGGACACTTTTAAAGCTGAAATTTATCCGACGAGACGCTTCAGCACCCCTCCCCACCCCAAAAACAAAAGACTGCTCTGTCGGGAAAGCCGGAGTAGCATGGTTACTGCAGGAACTGATCCCGGATGAGCCGGAAGAATGGGACGTGACACGTACCGGACTAGGTTTGTACCCGGAGTGTGTACTTACCAAGGGCCCGGAACTTAACCTGGCGACAAATTAACGCCAAGTCTCCAGACACAAAATTTGAGACTGTCCGATTAGAAGGTCCGTGTAGTGTGATTATAGTTACGTTAGTCCTCTGACTGTGGAGTCTTAGGTTCATTCTCGGGAAAGTCCAACTTAAAGATTCTGTAGTCACGTCTACCGTGTCACGGTGGTCTAGCGGTTAGAACGCTGGCCTTGTAATCCTGGGGTCTCGGGTTCGATTTCCGGCGGTGCCCGAATTTATAACTTGTGTTGGGCAAGGCCGTGGTCTAGGTAACACGGAGTCTTCCTCCGTGGCATCCCAACAATTACTCCATTCACACACAGAAGAAGGCAATGGCAAACCACTTCTGGATCATCTGCCAAGAACGTATATGAACAGGTCCCAGTCCGAGAAAAGGATGGAAGGATCCTGTTCATACGGACCTGTCGTCAGACAGGCAATGTCAAACCACTTCTGGATCATCTGCCAAGAACGTATATGAACAGGTCCCAGTCCGAGAAAAGGATGGAAGGATCCTGTTCATATGGACCTGTCGTCAGACAGAACACTAAAAAAAAAGTCACCTTGAGCCCGCAGTCAATTTCAAGCTGACAAATTAAAGATGCGGGCAATAACAGCTGTTTCATATGAACTAGAATTTTTTACATGTTTAGTATGATTAAATAAAAACATTTGACGCCATTTTAACTTAACATGATAAACTTTTTTTAAAGTCAGACGCATGGATCGCCTAGATATCTTATACGATGCTGCAGAATAGATTGATATTTCCATTTTAGGTGCCAATAAGGAAATTCTAGCTCGCTTAGTGAATAAGCATGTGATCGGCAGTAGAAAATTTGCTGTCCTGATTGGGGAGCTGTTGTCTGTCTGTCTTTGCTCTCGGTGCCATGCGGAGTACACAGCTTAGAGAGACAGATATAGCATCAGCTAAGAGAAAGACAGGAGAAGAATATGTAATGAAAACGAGGGAGGGCAGAAATGGAGTTCACACAGGAATTCACTTTGCCGAAAATGTTCTGCAGAAAATTAATGCGGGTAGCTGCAGTTTGTTAGGATGCCATCGGCTCAGTTTCGACAGTTTATCGACATTGTAGATTATAATCGTTCTCGCCGATTGAGAAGAGCTGCTTACCTTCCTTTTCGATTTGATGGAGTGTGATTGGCGCTGAGTTAGCTCGCCTATGGATCGACTTCCCCAGAGCTCTCTGCCCATCAGGGTGTAGCACACGGCCATTGCTGTCACAGGCACCAGGTACGTGAGTCCCAGGAACACCAGATTGTACCTAGGCACATCGAAATCAGTTCAGATCCCATCCAGATGTCATTAGATTCGCGTTGCGACATTAAACTTGATGATTAATGTGGGTTACCTAATATTTTGGAGGGCATTTGAATAATAAAAGTGTGAACTTAGATTGACAGATACGCGGCTCGGACGACGAAACAAGGAATGTTTACAGACTCTGTTAGAAAAACTTCCGGTTAGAGGGCCGCTTGTATGAGTAATGGCCGCCATTCACGATCGCTCCAGATGGATGACATCCGAATGGATGACGTCCAAAGAGGTACTACATTTACGGTCGCGTCACGCCAGTCGCGGTTTGTTGTCCCTCTGTGAAGTGCGTGGTGTTTGCGACGGACGAAGAATTGGTACTAGCTACGGCAGTATG